GTTTCAATGCATTTCAATGGTTTTGACAGGTCCATTTTCGCTATTTTTAAAGTGTCTTAAAATGTTCAAAAACTGTTTTAAATGCTTGGAATTGTTAGTGCACCTTGTAAAACCTTTGCAGAATTAATTTGGCTTTGTTCTGACTCTTCGTTAATTTTTGGTGAATTTTTCCCCCATTGGAATGCATTGAACTGTAGGTTTGACAGCTGTCAAACCTATTCAATGCATTCCAAGGGGGGGGAATTCACCAAAAATTAATGAAGATTCAGAACAAAGCCAAATTAAGTTTGCAAAGGTTTTACAAGGTGCACTAACGATTCCAAGCATTTAAAACAGTTTTGAATATTTTAAGACACTTTAAAAATAGCGAAAACGGACATCGTTAAGCGAAACAGGGGACCCAAAATGCAATCGCTATGCGAAGCATGGTCCCGAAATTGCTAAGTGAAAATCGCCCATAGAGAACATCGTTAAATGATGCGGAAAATTCCTCAAAAAAACCCATCGCTAAGCAAATACATTCTTAAACGAAGCTATCGCTAAGCGAGGCACCACTGTATATTGCTAGATTGTTCAGGTCTAAACTATCCCACTAGATTTGAAACATAAGCTATGTTTTAAGGAATAGCTAAATATTATGTATCGCAGAAAAGTCTTACCTACTATAGAGAATTCTTAATATATTTGTTTGTAAATTCTTTACAGAGCAATCCCATAGTTCCATTATGCTTGACCCAATATGCCAGGCATTTTATTGGTTCGATGTACCTATAGTCCAATGCTAGCCCAGAAGCAACTAGAAACAGTCATACCAATGTGGTGTAATAACTATTAGCAAGTGCTCTACAATCAGTGTTCATTTTACCTAGCCTTCATTACTCCACGCAGCCTTGCTTCTCATATAGCCATGTGGTTGTTGAGGAGCAAGATTTTCTGAAGCAGCTACCATTTATCTTATGCAGCATCACTAACTGATTTACAAACCACTTGCAATACCAGATTGCCCTTTCAATACTATCCAATTCCTATTTGTATACCAATAATTAACATTCCTTTCTTCCAATGAGTGGCACACAGACCCACTAACAAATCACATTTTATCCCTACAATCGCCTAGTAATCACTGAGAAGGTATGACATGTCATCTACTGATCTTTTTGGTTGAAAACTGGTCCTACGTTGGGTCTCTCCAAGCACTTCAACCATTATGCCATATTGCTCACAGTTCTGTAATCATAGGTCAGAGTTATACAACCATCTGCCTTGTTACCATATTTTTCCTTGTACAAGACACTACTTTTTCCTAAAATTATTATTACACTAAAAATTGAGGGGGCATCTTTTACAAGGAAGTAAGCTGAAAACACTGAGGTAACAAAATGGCCCATACCTTGCCTCTGTAAACTGACTTCCTTCAATCACGAGGCTTAGCTGCCACCAGTCAGGAGGCTTAGCTTCCTTCAGCCCTATGGAACTGATGTCAGCTGATGCTGAACAAACCAATTGGAATACACCTCATTGGAGGTGGAGCTTGTAGGCTCAGATTCAACAGGGACTCCTAATGTCTGAGTGTTCTGAGCCCAGAGGCTGAATACTCAATGTTAAATTTTCTTAATTTTGGGGTTAGAAAAGTGGGGGTGTCGTGTTTTCTTATAAATGGAAAAATACGATCTATGTATAATCTATGTTTCCTTACTGTGCTCTTAAGTTTCCCAGAATACTCTCCCCTGCTGCACTCAATGATGTCAAAAAGGGTATTTTTCTCTTCATCCCTGGCCAGTGGACAAAACTTGTAGATTGTGGCAAAATGAAGTAAATAGTAACCATATTTCCAGTTATCCACTGAAAGTGATGTTGCATTTGTTATGTGGTTTCTACTACTTTCTAACGTTCCTGTCCAATCTCTAATGGACCTTACCTGCTTTCATCAAAAATGATAATTGCTTCATCTTTAGGCTTCTGAAGTTTTTTCTTCACTAATGAAAACACTTCCTCTTTCGCTTTAAAAATATTATATCACTTGATTAGTACTGAATTATGTACAGACAATAATAGAATCCTAGCACTAACATTTTTACTTAATCATAAACCATTGACTGAATGTTGTTCTTCAGATTCTCAAATTATTATTTCAAATAAATATATTCATTCCCCTCATAATGTAATAGCTCTACAAATTTTAACTGAATTAGATATACCAATCCTGTTTCCATGGTTCTAAATTAAACATAGGCATAACTCCGATCTTAGTCCTGACTAGAGGAGTCTCACTGAAACAACAGAACTTAGATAAGTCTAAACTTGCTAAACCTTTGATTCAAGGGACTAACCTGTGGGCTTAGGCCGCAGTTAAACCTTCCAGCTCCTGGAAAGTTATGCTTAAAACATAATTCATTACATTAGATCCCATTTAACAACTCACTAGTTTCAATATATAGCATGGTTATACATTCCAAACAACAGTGGTTTGCATAATGTTTTCAGGAAAATCAAAAATTATTTTGAAGGAATGCAATATTATATATCTGCTACATATTAATTTCTTCTTTTAAAAAACCCAATTAGACACCATTTAGTAACGTAAAAACATGGATCTGGAAGTTGAGTCATGGCAACTGGACTTCTTTCTTGTTAGGTTGAAGTGTTTCGCTATTCATCCAAGTAGCTTCCTCAGTCTGAGGAGAGAGCCATGACTCAAATTCCAGATAACCTCACCTGAATGATTGAGAATCTTCAGAGGTAAAACATGGACTAAATTTTGAAATTTTCCCGCTTCTCCCATTAGGGAGTAAATCTCCTCAAACATTGCCATTTCCTAATACTCCAAAAGTAAAATGTTACTTCCAAGCTATTATAATGAGCATGTTCCCTTAGGTTCAAGTGACCCTTAATTCTTTTTTTTTTACTTTATATAATTGTGTAGAATTAGATTCCACTGCTCACCACTGAGCAATTTTTAAAAAATGGTTTTTCATGTTTAACTTTGAAAATGCATTCTCTCACCAGTTAAGGTGCTTGCATCTTTGTTTGAGATACACCAATGTAAGCATGATTCCATGCGAAGTACATGAACCTACACTAAGAATATGCTTTCTGTTGAGATGTCACTTTTCTTTCATTTTCTTCCTCGTACATGTAACTTTTTGCCATTTCTTCACTGTCATTCCCACTTCAGTGAAGAGGGTTTTCTGCCTTACATGGAAAAGTCTCCTGAGAATACACACTCTAGATTAGGGGTCACCAACCCCCAGTCCGCGATCTGGCACTGGTCCGTGGCCTAGGCAGGACCGGACCACGGACACAGATCTCCTCTCCCCCCCCCATGAACGTGCCACACACCCCCAAGTGCAACACACTCCCCACATCCCCTAACCGGTCCATGATTGGGAAAAGGTTGCAGACCACTGCTCTAGAAGATCTGGAGATCTGTTATCAAATATCCTGTCTCTTCAAACTTACAGGGGGATGATCTTATCAGAGCTGAGGGCCATTTTTTTCAGATTTGCTGAGTCACACTCCCAAAGAAGAGGAATGTTATTGAAGAGCCTAATTTATGCATTATTCTTAGAAATATTGCTACAATAGGTCAAAAATGGTTTTGAAAAGTTTTTAAATTGAAAAAGCCTCCTCTATTAGACAATTTTCTATAAAAACTGGAACAGGAGGCACTTCAACAACAAAACCTGGCAAACTTACTCCCACAATGTCTGGAGAGCATTAGGGGATTTTATGAGCAAAAAGGGTTTTCTTCAAAAAAAATTAAATTTCAGGGGTGGGAGCTACTAAATCATCTTTGGAAGCTACAACTTGGTCTGTAAGCCACAGTTTGCCAATCCATACTTTAAATGTTTATGAAATGCAGCCACACGTTTGCTCTAGCGAGTGGAGCTAAAGGGCATGGTTTCACCCTTTCCCCATTTGCCTTATCAAAATCGTGTGTATATGCCCAAATATATATGCTCCTTTGGGATAAAAACCTACTCATGCCTGTAAGGGTTTTTTTTACTAAAGATATATGGAAATTTGGTATGTGAGTGTGTATGGAATTTTTCTTTGGAAAATGGTGGAGAGAAAAAAATCCCATTAAAATCTCTCCTCTTGATTTATATGTCTTTAGGGACATATAGAAAAAGTCAGGAAATCATCAAAATTCTCCTTCCCTTAATTGTTTGCAGAACTTTATAGAAGTATATAAAAATTCAGGAAATCTAATCATGGATTCCAGCGTCTTATCTGGCCCAAGGACACTTGCTCTTGAGTCACAACACTGTACTAAAATGCTTTATCAAGACTTTAAAATGTTGCCTGCTTCCTCCTATTAATAGACGTTTTTGCATCAGCTCTATACCCTTAATGACAAAGGCTTATAATACAGTAAATTGTCAGAATAAGACAAAACTAAAACTGGTTATTTATAAGCGGTTGCTAGATAGAGGTGGCTGCAAGAAACATTGTACTGTATTCTGTAAATGGCACATCCCAAATGTTCTTTCTGAAACCCTGGACCTAAACATATACAGAGTTTAAAACAATAATTTACTTTCTTACAGTATTAACATTATGATAAAATTATTTGCTCTTTGTTAAAAGCAGTTACATGAAATACTGTATATGTATTCTTCCATTCACGCTCCTCTGAACTAAACAAATGAACTATGTTCTACAATGGAAACAGAAAACTGAGTCAGAGAGTATAACTATAATTACAGTACTTAAAATCATTTGACTAAGACCATTTGGTTTCTTAGTAGACTTCACAGTTCCAGCCTTTTTGCCCAAAACATCATTCAGACTTTGAAGGGACTTTTGTTTGTTCACATTTCCTAAAACAGTGATATGGCTTGTATTTGAATCCAGGATCACTGAATCCTAAACATAAACAGAGTAATAAAAATATTATGAAATAAGAATACTGCTATCAGTCATACATTTTCCTCTCACTGACTTTTCCCACTACATAGATAGGTAGAAGGAACCAATGTAAAAAAATTCTTAAGAGTTATACAATTTTACTTCGAATTTTACACATGCAATGTCATATGGAAAAGTCTCTTCTCACTTCACTAGTGGATGAACAATAACCCATGCACCCTCCATGCAGTCATGGTAATTTCCCCAGACAATGAATTGAATGACAAAAGCCATGCTTACACAGAACTTCAAGTATGCATTTCCCAGAATCCTACTTGTGTCCAAATGAGATTTCATAATTTACTGCAACTAATTGCTGAGGACACTTCTCAGTCACAAACCAAGTCAAGCATCCAACTGCACAAGTGACATGTGCCTGGCACCTCATCATTCAATCACCACACATTATTCAAGCCTTACACAAACACCAGAGAATTCCAGCCAACATAATCTAGCAGATACTTGGGCTGGGTTCTAATGTGCCTACTACATTTTTGTTACAATCCATTTTAAATAAATACTCATATCTTCTTACACCTTTATTACATGAAATTTAAAATGACCCTATGCAAAGAATACATGGGAGTTGAAAGACTTAGTCCTGAAATGGATGCTAAATTCAGTGGAATTCTGTGTTAAATTCACATTGTAAAAACTGTATTCCATCAGACTCTGCTTCCCATGTGGCTAAACTGCTAGCCAGTTTACTGTGTGAGCCAGATGCAGACTGAGCAATACATAGCACATTAAACTACAACAGAAGTACCGTAGCTAATAATCACATCATCCTTTCTAAGGGCTACTACCAAAAGTGTAAATAGACATTAAAAATTTCCTGCTCATCTTTAATTTAGAATGGCTTGACTTTCATAACCCAAGGAATCCTTATTTATAGAACCACAAATATCTAAACATTTCTATATTTATTTATTTATCTATATGCTTCTATGAATGTTTGAAAACATAATTGAAAATTGACAAGTAATCTAAAATTGATTATCCATATTCACTGATGCATGTCCCAAAAAATAAAGAGATCTGTTTTTCTGTTCACTCATTTGTTAATTCATAAGATGAATCTGGAATTGTCAGCCTTTATAGATGTATGTTGACTTTCACAAACATTTTAAAATTTGCTGTAATATTTAAACTGTAACATCCATATGAAGGATGGAAAATTGCTTAAGCAAATTCTTTCCAAAAGCAGAAAAGATTCCATCTGTCACCTGAACTTACTTCTGTATTCTGTATTTTTTTCTGTTCAGCAATAGCCTGTTGTCTAGATGAGCGTCTCAAAGGAACATGTAATGTTTCATCAACAAGCCTTGCTGCTCTGTTTTTTTGTACAGCCTTTGCCTTCTCAACCAATTTCTTTGCTTTGGATATATTACTAGAGGTAGTATTCAACTGCTGTGAAATTAGAAGTGATCATTAGTGGACAACAAAATTGCAGACACAAATTCTTGCTTGGACCTAAGGATGCTTCTGCAGAAGTAAAAAGCAGAAGTTGAGCCCCATGTTTTTGCCCTGTCCCCCTACCTGTCCAACAAACCCCAGAAACTGATTCTGATGGTTGGGAAACAATAAAGAAACCAGTACAGGGTTTTATACAGGATGCTGTAGCAGGTAAGGGAAAATGGAAAAGAAACCAAGCTCCCCATCCTGAACAAGCAGAAGTGCATTCTACTCACACAACATTTCATGTGGGTGAATTTGCACAATACGCCAAGGATCTGTGGAAATCCTAGGCTGTTTTGTATATGTGTGCTAATGCATGTTGCCTGATGGCTGCCACTGGCAACTTGTCAGGTCTGCTTTATATTTTAATCATGCGCCAGATATATCAAAAGGCTTTTCAGATAGTACTTTCTTCTCAAAACCCAAAAGTACAGCAAAATCAAAAGGGGTCGAAGAACTGCCCTTCACAGACATCCCATTCATTTATGCAAGTGTAATGTTAGAGAATCCAATACTATAAAGCAGCACTTGGCATATAAATCATGAAGATGGCATTGCCTAATCTGATTATATTTTAGTTACTGCAAGAAGGATGGAAAGGGGATATTATCCAGTTTATAAAAGTTACAAGGGTATTATTTCAACAGCTACTTCTTGTTAAAATTAAACACGCTAAACATTGTCCAAAGGTTACAACAATTTTCCACACATGAAATACTTCAATCTACCACACCATTTTATTATTATGTTTTTCAAGGCAAGACTTCATTATAGTTCTGATTTCTTCAGTAAAATACCTTTGCACTCTGTTGCATAAATCTTTCAGATGTACAAATTCGGGTGAATTTCATCCTGGATAAGAAAAAAAATCCCAGTTAATATAAGTTTTTTAAAAGATGCTTTTGTCCTGTGTTGGACAATATGACAAATCACATTTAGAATTCCTGTTCCCAGCTTTAGGCACTAAAACCAAAGTTTCTTTCACTCTAGAAATAATTTTAAAAAACTTACCTTATTGGGCTTTTTGAATCAAATGGTTCAGTAATCATCTCAGCTTTATACAAATCACTTTTACTAAAGGCCTTATTGTATGCTTTTGGAGTGGAGGTTTGTACAGAGCCAGCATGTGATGCATTTTCTGAAATTCTTGATTTTTCTGGAGTACTATAAATGGAATTTTGGCTTTTCTTTTGTCGTGGACTTCTTCTCAGTTTACTATTTTTTTGAGGCAATTTGCTTTGTATTTCTCTTGACGTTCTGGTCTTAATCTGACCATTAGTGTCATTGTTCTGGTTTTCAACTTTATTTAAATCTTGCCGCTTTGTTTTCTGTACCATCTTTTCCCTCTTGAGCTTGTTGTTTCTTACTCTGGTACTGCGATTTTTTCCAGCATTAGAACAGGAATCATTCCCAGCATCAATACCTGACACTTCACTGTCGGTCCTTTTATTAGAAACATCTTCACATTCTTCCATTTCCAGTTTGCATTTTGAAGATTTTTCTCCTGCTTCCTTTAGTTTACCAAGTCCTTTCCTAGCTCCAGCTTTTATTGTATCAGATTCTGGTTGTTTAAAAGCTTTCATAAACTGGTACCTTTCTTCTGCAGTGCATTTTGACTTTGCAGTCTCTGAACCAAAAGTTTCCAGTACAGCCAGCTCTAACTCTTCTTCAGCTATCACCACATTAGATTTGCGTTTCTGAGTCATTGGCTCAGTGCACTCTGCCTCAGAGGCTGATGGGCTGCTTTGTCTTTTAGTTTCTTTCGATTTTTGCTTTAAAAATATAGAAGCTATTTTCTGAGAGGAGGTAGATTTTGGAGGGACAGAATGGATTTGTGCAAGAACAGTTACTTTCTTAAGTGCTAGCTGATGAGCATCTTGGAAACTGGCTGCTTCATCAGGTACAGTGGAAATATCTGATGTCTGTGCTTTGGGGATTTGATCAATTTTATTTTCTCCTTGGCTTTTTAGAAAATCTTCAAATGATACAGTTACAGTATTGTCACTTAACTGTGGTGTCTCCTGTGGAGTAGTCTCATGATCCTGAATATTTACTAAGCTTTTATTTCCAGAGTCACTAGTAGATGCAAGCTGTTTGTCATTAACCACTTTCTCTTGATCCTTCTGTTCTGTTTCATTAACAAAATTTTCAGACAGGTCAATTTCATCTTTATATTTCCTTTTCTTTGGCCTTTTAACATTACTCTTTACTGTTCCTCCTTCTATCTCCACTTTTCCTTTTTCCTTTTTGGTGGTCACTGTTTTGAAGTGGGAATTGCTGCACATGTTTAACATCTCATCCTTGTTTGTAGATACATGTAATGTAGGAACGCTCTGGCCAACAGGTTCTTCTTCCAATGGACTGGGCATTTCTCTGTTAACACTATTCATGTCTCTAACAAGGTCATGCTCAATAATTTTCACATCTTTTAATTTATTATTTAAATTAAATCTTTTCCCTTTCCTCTTAAGCCTTGACAAAGTCTTTGAAGAATTTTCTAAAGATGAACTATTTATGTTGCTTTCCTTCTGCATCACAGGTGAAGCAATCTTCTCATTGGTAGGGGATGTTTTTTTAAAATAATCTAATAGATTGTTGGACTTCGGGGGTGACAACATTCTATCAACATTTTTTCCTAATGGTGAAAAATATTTTGTAATGGCTTTTATAGAAGGATCATCTTCTTTTCGTTTTTTATGTGGCTAGAAAGGAAAAAAAGAGTTGTTTACAAATATGAACAATTCTGTCTCTTAAGAAAGGCAAGAATATGAATGTTTAATATTTTTCTTCTTACTTATTCAGAACATAACTTTTTTAGGGTACCTATGTGCTTATTAGAAAAAAAATAGAACTTTATTTTGTTTTTGTTTTTTAAAGGGCAATGAGTCGGGGGAATATTATTTTAGTCATTTGGCCAAAATACAGAAGTAAAATAGTTTTTAATACCTTAAGGACAATAGATTTACTACAGCAAAGGCCTTCATCAAATAAAGTCTTCAAAAAGAGCCTAATGGGGCAGTGGTTAAAGTGCTATACTGCAGCCAAAACCCTGCTCATGACCTGGGGTTCAAAGGAGGCTGAATAGATGCATCACTGCTCATTATGCATAAAAGGTTAAAAAAGGGTAAAAAAGAAAATCCTTTTGCCTTCCCCCACCAGTTTCTCTCAATAGAGCGCTTGAAAGTTGGCTCAAGGTTCACTCAGCCTTCCATGTTTCAGAGGTCAGTAAAATGAATACCTGGCTCAGGTATTGGGGCAATATGTAACCTACATAATTAACTTCTAAACTGACCAAAGAGTATTCTTGAAGGCTTTCATGGCCAGGATCTGATGGATGTCGTGGGTTTTTCGGGCTCTTTGGCCGTGTTCTGAAGGTTGTTCTTCCTAATGTTTTGCCAGTCTCTGTGGCCAGCATCTTCAGAGGACAGGAGTAGGAACTCTGTCCGTGCTCTGTGGCAGTTTGTTGGATAGTTGAGTATTTATAGCTGTGGGAACAGCTTTTGTCCTTTTCCGATTGGGTGATTATGGTGATCAGCCTGTTATTTTCTTGTGGATACAGTGGGGTCCTGACTTGAGAACTTAATCCGTATTGGAAGGCGGTTCTCAAGTCAAAAAGTTCTCAGGTCAAATCTGCATTTCCCATAGGAATGCATTGAGAACCATTTGATCCATATCTGCTCTTTTCCGTCCATAGAAACTAATGGGAAGCTGCTATTCTGCCTTCGACCACTAGAGGGGGATATTTTGTTTCTTTTTTTCTTAGGTCAAGAAAGGTTCAGGGAAGGCAGGGAAAATACAGTCCAGGCAGTACCAGGCAGTCTGAAGACTGTCTCCCAATCCACTCTCTACACGCTGGGAGGAGTGAGGAAGCAGACAGGCACCCTTTTCACAGGCCAAGAGTTAACTGAAAGTTCAAATTTTGCACTTTCCCTGCCTCCCACGTGGGTTTTTTTCAGTTCTTAACTCAAATCTAAGTATGTAAGTCAAGTCAATATTTTCCTATGAGAGTGGTTCTTAAGTCAAAATGTTCGTAACTCGGGCCATTCTTAAGTCAAGACCCCACTGTATATTGTTGTGATAAGGAGGAGAGAGTGACCAGAGAGTGCTTTAAGCGCTATGGAGTGGTATATAAACAACACATTTTGCTTTTGCTTCTGATGATGTGGACTCTAGTCCATGAAAGATTGTATCATAGTGATTGAAATCCAGTAGTAAGTCACAGCTAAAGTAGGCCCATTAAATCAGTGGGGATTTGGTGAGTCAACACCTATATAAATTGCACTGATTCAATGGGCCCGCTCTAGTTGCAACCCCTTTTTAAAAACGCTTGTATTTGCTTTTAATTGGAAAGGAGTAAAAGATGCCGTAGTTCTTTTGCTTACCGGCAAAATGGTGAATGGAATTTGACAATCCTAATATAATTTAGGTATCTGACAGTGGAACTGCAGACTGAGTTTGATTCCCCACAGTGCCTCCTGTGAGTAGAGCCAGCCTGTGTGGCCTTGGGCAAGCTGCCCAGTCCCAGGATGCCTCAGAATAAGGAAACGATAAACCACTTCTGTATACGGTATTCTCTATCTACGAAACCCTGAAAAGGGTCGTCATAAGTCAAAACCAAATTGATGGCATGCACTCTCACAAAATGTGACAGGGAACACCATTTGTAACTTTCAAGCGCTCTATTGAGAGAAACTGGTGGGTGAAGGCAAAAGGATTTTCTTTTTTACCTGTTTATGCATATATGAATTCTAATGAGCAGTGATGCATCTATTCAGCCTCCTTTAAAATATTTAAATCACAATCCTACCCATGTCTACTTAGACTCTAGTGTCATGAATATCAACAGCTTGCTTCCAAATATGCATGCATAGACAACATAATTAATCCAGTTGTGTCATACTCTTTCAAAATAAAACAGAACTCTCCTACATAATATATAGATATGGTACATCACAATATCATGTATGACTGGCTTCTACTCTTGCATTATAGAGTCTAGATTTATATCCTAACCCATGTGGAAAAAAGGTTAACATAACATTCTAAGAGTAAAAAGTGAAGAACTGCATACCATAATTCATTATAAAATCCCCAAAAGCACAATATCAACGTAAATCCCTTTATATTACCCTAAGCACAACACAGATATCACAGGAGCCAGCATAGGCTGCTGGAAAGCTGCAGCACAAAGCTTTAGTTACACTGCTTTGGTTGGCAAAATTAATCATTTTAGTTTAAGGGCTCCATAGGACACAGTATAATTCACATGTTTCTTTAACATAGTCCAGTTAAGCTGGAAATTTTGTTTAAAGCAACTTTTCATTCATGAAGTTAAGTTCAACAAAATAATCAGCATCTTTGAACAGCAAGTGGAATAGCACATTAACACATAAGTTGGTGAGTCCACTTTATTGTTTGTTTTCAAGTCTTCAGCCATGTCAGTTACAAATTTACATAATATCTCACTTAATAAACAAAGAACTGGGCTTATAGTTGGAAAACATACATTCAGGTTCTAGACTGACCAGTTTACTCAGCCTTTCCAAAATGAACTACACCACAACACAATACTCAGCCACCATGACTCCAAGCCTCTCATCCCATGTCCCTTCTTTAAGGTTGAAATTATAACTTCTTACTCAGAGAAGAATAAAAGCATTTATATAAAACGTGGCTGTATTGTTGAGTGGGCTTAAAATAGTGGAAACACAGCCCAATGAATCTGGTCCATACAAAGAATATGGGGAATAATTACAAACCAATAGTATTTTAAGGTCTCCCCCCAACAATGTCTATTTAAAAACCCTGGGAACTAAGGTAAAACAAAGTGGCTATTCCCTTTTTATAACACCCAGAGCTAAAGTTTCACGAATTTCCTGGAGAGAAAGAGCACAGCTGGCCCAACCAGATTTAGCCTTCAAGGTGTAAACCTGGCATCAGCAGTTAAGTGTTCTCCTTTAGGCCTGCTTGGAAATAGACTTTCAAACTAAGCAGAAAGTTTCTACCACATGCCTCCTAAATCCCAACCAATCTACCAAACCAGTAAAAAGTACAAAGTCCTCACCACCATTTTAGCCCGCTTCTCCCCACACACTGCTTATCATTTAACGCAGGCGTAGGAAACAGAAAAAAGGATTGTTTAGCTGTAGAGAGACGAAATGAAACGGCAACCCATGAGATGCCCAGCAAGGAGTGCCTTGCAGTTTGCCCCACTGTGGCTTCCTTTGTGCTAAACTTTATTCATTTATCCATGGTGGCCTGAGAGGAACCCGGAGATCCTAAGTGGGGGGGGGGGAGAGAGAATTCTCCTTCACGATGAATGGAGGATTAATGAATGATCCACTTGCTTTTCAAATGACTCTTCTTTCCGCTGCTCCGATCTGACAGCTCTGCTTTGCCCAGGGGCGTTCGTGAGAAACTGGCTCGCCTTTCCCCCCCCAAACACACACACACCCCTCACAAATCCTACCCCACCAGGCTTTCCCCAACCAACCCAACCGCGAACCCCGCAAAGGGAGAAACTTCCAGGAGAGCTTCGCGCCGTCGCCTTGCCCGTTCCTCTCACCTGGAGCTCCCCGTCGGTTGGAGCTGCTGCTGCTGCAGCGGCGGCCGTCGCGACCACAGCCATTCTTCAACCCAACCAACGTCCCTCCTCGTCTAAGGGAGGCCGCAAAATGTCCCCCCCACACACACCAGCCGTTACGCCTTCAGAACCAGGAGGGAAGAAGAAAGGCGCCGGCCCGCCATTCCGCAGGAGGGCTGACAGGGATTCCCGCGCGCAGGACAACAATCGGCGTCAGGCTGAAAAGCGCGCGCGGGACGGATTCGGACCCGCCGTGACGGTCCGGGGGGAGGGGCGTGCTCCCCTGGAGCCCACGTGACAGGGGAGCCCAGGCCCAAATTAGGGCAGCGCCCGTGCCCCCGCGTCACGTGCCCTTCAGAGGAAACCGCCCCTCTCGCGAGGGCCACTACTGGACGCCCTCAAAAAAATAGGAATACTGGACGCCCCTTTCTCTCCCTCCCCGAATATAGTACTTGGTTCTCTCCCTGTAAGTGCTTTTATCATTTTACCCCTTTTCAGAGGGAGGCTCTAGTTGCAGAATTGAGCACCAAAAAAAGTTATTGTGCCACAAACTTGCATAAATGAAGACGAAAAAGCCGCCACTTTTTGCATTTGATCAGAGGGGCTGTATGCGATACGAAAACTTAACGGTATGTCACAATAAACGTTCAAGGGCCCACAACAACCATTAGATCCCGGCCGTGAAAGCCTTCGCGAATACATTGCCCACAGTAATGTTTTCAAACAAAAGAACGAGATCGTTCTTCGCACTGAATCTGTTAAAGCCACGAAACCGGGCTGAAGGCTAGAATTCTGATCTCTACAATCACTCGAGATGAGCCCCCGCAAGTGTAAAAACAAACAAACCCCGCTGCCGATAAAGACGGCTCATCATTTTTAAAAGGGGGGAAGAAGAAGAAGAAGAAGCCGCCCTTTTCCTGCCTTCACGCCTTGGCTACCCGGATGTAGCTCGCTTCCGGGTGTGAGGTTGATGCCAGTAGTTGGTCGGGGGGCCTGCCATTCTGGTCGTCGGCCGGGCGTCGTTCGACGGCCGGGGCATGGAGCTCGAGGCGGAGGCGTTGTTGCAAGAGGCGCGCGAGAGCGTCGAGGCGGCGCGTACCTACCGCCGGGAGCTGCAACACCGCCTGAAGGGGCTCCACCTGGCCCGCCAGCAGGTAACCTAACCGATAGGGGCGTGGCGGCTGCTTGCGCCTGGCCGGGGGAGTCGGGGAACCCTCCGATCCGAGAGATCCGTAGCGCTGAGAGGATGCTGGGTATGGCTCGGCGAGCGAGGCAGTAGCGCTCAAGTCTTGCAAAAAGCGGTTTGCAAGCCGTGCGAAGCCTGATCTGATACAATAGCCCGGCTCCTGCTGACCCCTGCAACTGCAGAAATATCGGTGGCCAAATTACCCAACTCACTAGTCACGTTTGGGTGGAGTATTTAATAGAGCTCCTGTTTTCTGACCCTTTTAATTGCTGCTAAGTTAGCAAATATTCCACTAGAAAAGAAGTTTTCACCGGCAGAGAATGTGTGGCATTAGCAGAATAGACTTTGCGTAACCTGGTGATCTGCTTTAACAGATTGGAATGGCAAGTGAAGTTATAAAACTCATTATAAAATGTAAGTGTGTGTGGGATAATTACGCAGTATTTGTGGGTGAGGGACATTGAACTAAATAGGTATGATTTAAAAACACACCCTTAAAGAAATGTGCCTTTGCGTCGTGTGGAAACAATTCGCAGTGAAATTGACAATGCCTAGCTATTGGCTGAGAAGAGAAGACTCCTTGGAAAAGACCCTGATGTTGGGAAAGTGTGAAGGCAGGAGGAGAAGAGGATGGGATGGTTGGACAGTGTCATCAAAGCTACCAACATGAATTTGACCCAACTCTGGGAGGCAGTGGAAGACAGGAGGGCCTGGCATGCTCTGGTCCATGGGATCACGAAGAGTCGTACACAACTAAACGACGACGAGCCTATTGGCATTTGTCTGGATAGTTTCAGATCATTCAGTATTTTGAAACTAGTTGTTTTGCTCATTTTGACTGTTGGGCAATATCCAAGCATGTCCCTTACTTATTGAAGCTAGGTCTTTGTGTGGAGATACAGATAGCTGGAGATGCAGATTTTCTCCTGTACTACCATTTTATGGATGGCTTTGAATTTGTTTAGATTAAACCATCCTGTTCCCAAAGCTCAAAACTGGTTACATTTAGCTGTATGTTTTGTAGCATATTAAATCAATAATTTAAAAAATTTGGTTATATTTCTTTAAAAAATTGCTAAATATCTCTGAAATTAAATTGCTCAAATTATAAATGACATAATTATCTCAACTGCAGGCAAACTCTTGTTGGAATGGGATTAAATAAGTGGTTAGATAAATGAGGGGCTGGAACATCCTGAAAAAGCATAAAAATTAAACAGTAATTTATCCCACTGAATGTACTTGTGTTAAAGAGATGCTTAATGAAGGCATCAGTGAGATCACATGGTCAAGTTGCTAGTGTTCCTTTCTCTAAATTGACAAAAGCATTGGTAGATTTGGCCGACATCAGCTTCCAAAGTATGAATACAAAGGAAAAATGTGCATGAATTAAGAAATATTAAAGCTAATGACATAGAGAGAAAAGTGGAAAAATAAAGCCAGTGTTAGGCAGAATTACAGAAGAATATAAAAACAAAATTAGGGAAGCCAAAGAAAACATGTGGTCCAAATATGGCAAGTTGATAGAGTTGTTGGTATTTGTGTATTCATATAACTGGCAACCGATGATGGCAGCAAACAGTTGAAGATCCTATAATACTCTTCTGATTGCATTTAAATTTGTACTCCAAGAACAGTTTTAGAGAAGTGCTTGCATGCTGTTTCAAGTGATGCATTATTGACAATGGAGAAGTTATCAGCAACATATGATATGCTTTACATGAACATTTTACAGCGTAGTCTCTGTATTCTAACTCTTATGTCTGAAGAAGTGGGTAACGTTTCACAAAAGCTTACATTAAAATAACGCAGTTAGTCTTTAAGATGCCACAACATCTTGCTTTGCTTTTGTTTCATGCTCCTTGTTGACATGTTAACAATTCAGTAGTTCTTCCGTAGGTGGCAATTTAGGTGGTCTGCCAAGGTTCTCAGTAAAATGAATGAAGTAATGAATATAGTTCATAGTAAACAGTGAAAAGCAAGGAAACCAAGAAATGCAATAATCCAAAAGGAAAGTGTAAACTGGCTTCGAATTTGTTTGAATTAACAGTCAAACCACAGCCATGCAACAAAAATCAGAATAGATATGACCTTTCAATAAGGCAAAGACTAATACACAAGAAAACTTTGGCTTTGAGAATGCACATTGTATGTTGCTGTAGATTCTCAGTTCTACAGTATATCATGGACCTGAACACAAAGGACCTAGAAAAAAGCAGGAGCATCTGAAATGTGGATTTATTTTAGGATGCTAAGGATTTCATGAGTCAAGAGTGTGACCAATAAGGAGATACTAAAGCAGATGGATAATGATCAAAGAACCATAAAACAAATGAAATGCAGAAGATTATTTTGGTCCTGTAATGGGAACTAAAAAATACAGATTGGGTGCAGAGAACCAGTTGGGTAGGGTAAAAAAATTTGGAAAAGAAATGCTAGTAGAAAAAGCATTTATTGGCTAGCTAAAGAACCTTGAAGACGGCTTTGGATACTATATAGCATCATTGTTTAGATGTGCTGCATCTGAAATCAGAATAACTACAGTCGTGCCCTGCTGGACGATTGCCCCGTTTAACGACGAATCCACATTACGTTGGTGTTTTTGTGATCGCAAAAGCGATTGCAAAACAATGTTTAGATTGGTTTTTTCACTTAACGTCGATTGGTTCCCTGTTTCGGGAACCGATTTTTTGCTTTACGACGATCAGCAAACAGCTGATCGTCAGGTTTCAAAATGGCCGCCAGCTTTCAAAATGGCTCCCCGCTGTTTTCTAGGACAGATTCCTCGCTATACAGGCACCAAAAATGGCCACCGTATGGAGGATCTTTGCTGGACGGGCAGGCATTCAGCCTATTGGAACGCATTGAAGGGTTTTCAGTGCGTTTCAATGGGTTTTTAAATTTCACTTGACAACGTTTTCGCTCTACAGCAATTTTGCTGGAACAAATTAACGTCGTCAAGCGAGGCACCACTGTACTTGGTTATTACAAAATGCTGCATAGTGTGTTCCTCTCTTGTCAATCCCCTCAGTCTTAAATCTAGAATCAGCCAATAGACTGCAGTAGCAGATTCATTCAAGAAAAAGTTCCTTTTCTCCACAGAATGTATTATTAACCTAGGTAGTTTGTTGTCGGAGATGTGATGGTTATTGCCTTGGATTACTTTGAAAGGAAACTAGACAAATCCATGGAGCATAAATAAGTGAGCTTACTGATATTTGGGGAGGTAATATCCTGCTGAATATCAGTTACTGATGAATGACAGGCCATGTCCTGCTAGTGGACTTCTGGAAGCATCTGATTCACATCATCTGTAAAAAAGAAAAACAACAAGATATGAACTAAATAAGTGAATTTCAGCCTCTGTTACTCCAAATTCTTTCTTTTTTTTTTTTTTAATTTTTAAACTCCCAGATGTTTGGGGCTACAGTCCCTTACTGTTGGCTCTGCTGGCTGTGGGATTTTGTGGGAGTTGAAATAAAAAAAATCTGGGCTGGAAATCACCATTGTTGGTTAATCTCTGTTAAGGTGGAGCAGGATAGGCCTGATGTGCAGTCCAGTCCATAGTATATTTACTCTTAAACTACCCATTAACTTCAATGGGATTTTCAGTCTCGGACAACATTTAGAGGAATCTCCATTGGGTTAATACATGTGGTGGTGAGGACTGCTGCTCCATGGGGGTGGGAAACGTTATTCACCTGTGCTATGTTGTTGG